TGTTTTGAGGGAGTATTTCATCCCACCCTCTTGTCCCAGGCTTGGAGAGAGCCCATGTTTCTTTACAGCTTTATCTTGAGACACTCACTCTCAGTCTTTTTAGCATGCCAGGAAAAAATGAGCAGTGTAATAGGGATGTGGTTTTTTAGTTGAAGTCAGTTTTTGTTAATTTACTAGGTCTCTTCAGGTTGAATTCTGCTCACTGAGCAAGTTCACTGAGCAATTGTGCTCCCTTCAGTGCTGACCAGCAAAGATCTGATGCCTTGATTCCAACAAGACTTGTCTTAAGTAACAAATACAAGTCCCTGAAAGCAAGAGCTAAATGACCATCCACTGCGCAGTGTGTTTCTTTCCTGCTCCATTCTTTTCTCCAGTTTTGGATCTGAAAAGTACTCTGTTTAGAAAGCAGGCTTTCTGAGATCAGTACTACCTGTATTACCTGCTGACTGTATTTTTACCCTGCCTGGTAAAACTGGATAGCTTTCTGTAATGTATCTGGTCTCTTGGCAAGCAATGGCAGATGGTAGTGGCCCTGCAGCTCAGCATTCTGTCACAGGCAGTTTAAGTGATGAAGAAAATAATTGCACTGTTGGCCAGTTTGTATAATTAATTTCATTTGCACAATATAGGAGAATAGTTATTCTGGGGCAGACCCAGGGTTTGTCTAGTCCAGGATCTTGCTACCATTAGTAACAGTTAGTGGACAAGCCCAGTGACTGTCAGGACTGTCAGCCACATGTGCAGATGCGTTTCAGATCACATTTTGAACATTTGTGTTGGCTTGTGAAGAGATGGTTCTGCCTCAAGAATTTGTTAGAACTAGACTTGATTTTTCTGCTCTTTGCCAGAGCTGTCCCTGAAGAAATTGTGTCACAAAAGAAGTAACGCTACTATCACAGAAAAGCAATAGCATTGTAAGTCTTATTAAAATAGTTCATGTTTTGCAGTAGCCTTTATGTACAAAACATGTATTGCAATACCACCAAGTACTGTGGTACCTCAGGCGTCTCAGCTGAGATGTGGAAGGTGCTGCAGTGCTGCTGTGTGCTGCACCTTGGTGTCCCTCGCGGTCCCTGCTGCCTCTTGTAGCTCCCTCGCCACCTCTGGGAAGTCTGATTTGGTGACTCGATGGGCAGGTGCTCGCTAGAGGGTTTTGTCACCGAGAGGGCAGCAGCGCTGGGACTTCTGGCCCCTCCAGTGCTCCTCCCTTTCCCCCTGTGTGTTCAGTCAGGCCTGCTCTGGTCAGGCAGGTGCACCCACAAGAAAGCGCTGCTCTGAAGCAAAGGAGGAAGAAAGGAGGGGGGAACAAGCCCCTTTTTAGCTTTCCTGATGGGAGCCTGGCATAGGCAGGTGGTGCCGCTGAGCTGTAGACGGAGAAGGAGGGGTGATGCGAAGCCAGTTGCAGACCACTGTTTCACCTAGTAATTAATGGAGTTTTGGCATATTGCCTTTCTGTGCTGAATGAGCTTGCCTAACAGCACCCTCTGGTGAGTCCTGCAGGGAAAAAAACAGGATCAGGAGGAGCGGCCTGTACCACAAGGTCCTGCCCCTCACAATTAAGGCAGTAGATTTATTAAAAAAAATAATAAAATATCTATATATTCAGCAACTTTATGAGAAAGTGGTTCTTCAGGGTATTCAAGAGCTGCCTTCTGCCTCAGCTAACATTTGTAAAAAATCATGAAAGATCTTGGTGGGTTTAAAGTTGCACATTAAAGGGATGTAAGTTAACCCAGACTGAAAGCACTGCAGATTGCGATTGCAAATACTAGAACATTTTTGTGCACGTAGAATTACACATGTCCAGTGTGAGGAGTGCAGAAATAAAAGGCACTGCTTACAGTGAAAATCCAGTGAACTGGATGTGTATTTGGCCTCATGCACTGGAAACTGCCCGAGAGAATATGCTTACAGATGCTGCGTTTTGTTGTGCAATTATTCTTTTATTTGTGGTGTCTTTGTGCATGTATATTCCTTAGAAGCATCCCAGCTTTCACAGAAGGGTAGAAGATGAAGCTTTAGTACTGAAAATGGGTATCTACTTAGTGCTTTACTTTGATACCGCACTTTTTCTTGCAGTTGATATCGTACTGAAGAGTAGGGAAATACTTTAGCTACAGTCATTTTATATATTATTTGTAGTGCCTATGGTGGGCAGACTAGTTCACATGCAAATTATGCACTAATACTCACGTTAGCTGGTTTTTCATTGGCACAGTATAGTCTGCAACAGTACTTGGGTGGGAATCGATATGAGGAGAGATCCAAGAGGCAGTCAAGGCAAATGTGAATTAAAAAATCTGGCTTTTTCCTTGACAGCTACGTGTTATATTCCTCTCTCCCCTACCCTTCGCCAGTGAGATACGAAGAACAGTTAGCTACATGCTTCTGCAATGTGAGCAGTGATCCAGTAGACTTGAGAGACTGATCGTAGGGGAGGTCTGTCATGATTCCACCTGAAAAGTCCATGTAAATGATTTTGTGACATGATTATGCAGTAGGTGGTCAAAAAGTATAATGCTGATTAATTTGAAGACCTGTGTGCGTGGCTCAAGCTGTGTTCTGTTGGCAGCCATGGTCTAGGGTGCCCCCTAACCCTAACCTTTTGTGCCTCTCTGTTCCCTACCTGCTTCCAGCTCCAATGCTGGTCTGTGCTGTGCTGAGTTGTTTCAACGCTGGAGAGCTAGGTGCAGAAAAATTTAAAAAAGGGTGGCTTCTTCCAGGCTAGCAGACTGAAACAGGTTGACAGAGCGTCTGACAAGCGTTGGGACTATGCAAGAGAGGCTTAGGGGACCATGGGTTTCATCCTAGGAGGTGCTGTTGTAGCCATATGTCACAGATACTTGTGCAGAGGTGATGAGAATGTAGAACTACTGGAGAAAAGGGCCTTGCCTCAATGCGCAGCACAACCACTATGAATTCGGGGATAACCATAGTTTTAGAGAGAGATAAATGCTGTTACTAAGCTACAGATTGTATGGTGAAGTTGGAAACATAATAAAACAGTAAAAAGGCATTTTTATCTGAGTGGGTATAAACTAGAGCAGATGTAAAGAGTATACAGAGCTTAGTGTCCAAATGGGTATAAACTAAAGCGGATGTAAAGAGTATACAGAGCTTAGTGTCCAAAGCAGAGCAGTGAAGCTGGTGAAGGATCTGGAGAAAAAGTTTTGTAAGGAGCGGCTTGAGGGAACTGGGGTTGTTTAGTCTGGAGAAGAGGAGGCTGAGGGGAGACCTTATGGCTTTACAACTCCCTGAAAGGAGGTTGTAGCAAGATGAGGATTGGTCTCTTTTCCCAAATAACAAGCGATAGGACAGGAGGAAATGGCCTCAAGTTCCACCAGGGGAGGTTTAGAGCATGTATAGGGAAAAATTTACTCACTGAAAGAGTTGTCCAGCCCTGGCAGGGACTGCCCAGAGAAGTGGTGGAGTCACCATCCCTGGAGGGGTTTAAAGGACGTGTGAATGTGGCATGGTTTAGGGGTGAATCTTGGCAGTGTTAGGCTTACTGTTGGAGTCAATGATTTTAAAGGTCTTTCCAACCTAAATGATTGTATGATTCTGTATCTTACGAGTGACAGATGGTACCTTGGGAGAAAAACTTCTGCAAGCAAGTTAGTACCTTACTCATTTGCCTTAGTCTCCTTACAAGATACTGTAGATGCTTTTACGCCTCCCTTTTCCTACTCTGCTTATATTTCTGCTGTTTTTATCGACTTACAAACAAAAGTTTATTAGCAAAACTGCATTCATTTAAGGTAGAACACATTTCTTTATATTGTAATGAGACATTTACCAGTGAAAGGAGCCAGACTGTGCATTTCTACTATCTTTGTCATTTGGCCATTTATTTCAGCTTTTGTCTAACTAATAGTCTTTTTTAAATGTTTTATTACGTTAGCACGAAGAACATAATGCATTTAATATGTCAAATGGGTATGTATATTCGCTAGTCTGCATGATTTACTTTGAAGAGTCCAGAGTGTATTCATATACGTACCTTTCACTGTAGCAAATGCTTATACATAAAACTCTCAAGATGATCTTCATACACGAGGATTCATATTTTCCTAATACCAAGCCTGCTGACATATTACTGACTGTTTCCACGTGTGCTCTGCAAAAGTGAGAGCACAAAAAGGTAGGTGCCAAAAACCTCTAGTAAAAAGTTACAAGGAGTGCATGTGGCTTGAACTTGACTTCAGAGTAAAACAGAAGTCCGCTTGGGTTTGACATACCTGAAATTTTCAAAGAGTTACACGCAGACTAATTCTAACCCACAAACAGATGATTCCTTAAATGCAAATTCAGGGTATTCAGTCACGTTGTATATATGCTCCAGCCCAAAGACACACATCAACTGCTTTTTCATTTTAACATCTGTGGCCAGATGCAGCTTCAGGTTGTGAATTCTCACCCATGTCCTGCAATTTGGAAAAGACAGCGTTGTACACAAGCATCAGTTGGTGTAGCACCCTACCATCGCCACTGGGTACAACACTCCAAGTAGATAAGAAGATGATTTCTCATTTAGTTGCCACAGTTACTGATGTTCTCATCTACTCCTTTTAAGGGCCATAAGCCCTTATAATGTTAAACTGAAATGGAAATACAATGGAGCAATTCAGAAAGGTTTTTTTCCCTTGGCTGTGTTTACTAGAATTCAAGTTGAGGTCTTTGTATGTTTTGTAGAGTTTATTTATTTTTGTCTGCAGCAGCTGAGCTGCATCAACCCAAGGTTTCCTTCAACATCAAACGTTTGTTCAAAACTTACTTCTGCTGTGGTCTTGCTGTCATGCATTACTTTCAGTTTCTGACACCTGTCACCTGCAGATCATCATCTCCCAGTGCCACTGATTAAGGAAGCAATAGTGCCAAATACATACATGCATATTTGAAGAAAGGTTTTACTAATGCAAGAGTTTGTATCATGTAAGTTTTATCATTATTGTGCCACAGGAGCAGTGGTTCACCAGCGTTTTCCTTCTCTTTTTCAGCTTTTTAAAATTGCTTTTCCTCAGTGAGAATGGCAAGGATTCGGATTCCTAACACAATCGTTATACTTCTTGTTACGGTTCAGACTGGATTCTTACTCTTCATGTATGCCCGGTACAGTAGCTTCATACCTCAGTCTGAGGAGAAGCCATCTCAAGTGCATGTTCTCATTCTCTCCTCCTGGCGGTCGGGATCATCTTTCGTCGGTCAACTTTTCAGCCAGCACCCCAGTGTCTTCTACCTGATGGAGCCCGCGTGGCACGTGTGGGTTACGATGTACCAGAACAGTGCCAAGGTCTTGCACATGGCAGTGCGGGACCTAGTCAGGTCGGTCTTTCTGTGTGACATGTCTGTGTTTGATGCTTACATGCCTTGGAAAAGAAACTTATCCGATCTTTTCCAGTGGGCAGTGAGTCGGGCTCTGTGTTCAGCTCCTGCTTGTGACTCCTTTCAACGTACTGACATAACCAGCGAAATGGCGTGCAAGACTCTGTGTGGACGGTACCCATTCAGCAAGGTGGAGGAAGCCTGTAAAACCTACAGCCATGTTGTCATCAAGGAGGTTCGTTTCTTTGACTTGAAGGTCCTCTACCCCCTTCTCACTGATCCATCGCTGAATCTCAAAATCATTCACTTGGTCCGTGACCCCAGGGCAGTCGTCAAGTCACGGGAACAGTCCGTGAAAGCATTGGCCCGTGACAACGGAATCGTGTTGAGTACCAATGGCACTAAAGTGGAAGACAGCAAATACAAAGTAATGCAAGAGATCTGTAGAAGTCATGTTCAAATTTATGAAACGGCTACTCTAAAACCACCTAATTTCCTTAAAGATCGTTATTTAATGATCCGTTTTGAAGATCTAGTAAGAGATCCTTTATCTGAAATCTCAGAAATGTATAAATTTGCAGATCTTAGTTTGACCCCCACACTCAAGAGCTGGATCTATAATATCACACATGGACAGGGATCAGGGAAAAGAAAAGAAGCCTTCAAAATCACATCTCGAGATGCAGTTAGTGTTTCACAGGCCTGGAGAAATGTTCTTTCCTTCCAGAAAATTAAGAAAGTACAAGAAGTTTGCAAAGGTGCTATAAACATGCTTGGCTATCAGCTGGTGGATTCTGAAAAAGAACAGAGAGATCTGTCGCTGGATTTAGTGCTGCCAAGAAGACAGAATCAGTTCAGTTGGTCATCATTTAACCCAAAGCACTGAGACATCATTTTTGAGAGATCTGGGTGGGGTGGGGGGGTAGATGGTTGACTGTTTGTCTAGTGTGCAGCATGTAGGTAATTTGAAAATTCTCGGCTGATGAGTTTAACTGGTTTCCTGTCTGCTGTTTTTCCGTAGTGGAAGGAGCTTTTTTCCTTGGGTATCTTACACCACAAAAAAAAAACACCCACCAAAAAACCCCGAACAAACAAAAAACAAAAAAAGCATGAGAAGTGCCACGAGATACTTGTCAGATTGCACATTGCAGCTGAGCTGTGCTGTTAGCATGGTTTTAAAAATATAATTTAAGTACTTTCTATTAAAAGATGAGTTGTCAAAGCTGTCTTTGTTCATTCATGTTCATGTTTGTTCACTTCTGTTTTCATGCGCTAAATATTTAAGGATCTCAGTTTTTAGTTTGTATAAATGGAACAAAGTAGACACTAGAGTCACTTTTTTCCAGAATTGCTTGACTTTTTTCTTTTGCTTCGAAGTTTTTGTACAGTTGTGTATTTTATAGATTTCTCTTGATGTTTTAAATTTTAATGTAAAAGAGCTCCAAGAGCTGAGGTATCTGCAAAAGTTCTGCTGTAAAAGGCTTAAGCAGGAACTTCAGTTATTGATAGATTTCTTGGTGCTCTCCCTGAAAATACCCAACAATTTGGGACTCCTGGGAAAGTCCAATCCACCTGGATTGGTGTAGCTGGAAAGCAAAGAAACCTTAACCAAAAAAACCTGAAACAAACAAAACCCAACCCTTTTCATGCACAAAACCAGAAAGAGGAGTCATAAAGTGTTCTGTTGTGGAAAAGTGCTGAAAACCCCTAAGCCTGAGTATTTTTGGAAAAGCAAAATCCCCTTTTTCTTCATTACGGCAAAGCACCCTTTCCCCCCTGCTTTTAGGGAAAATTTGGGGTGAGACGCTGGCAGTTTGAGTGGCATTGCTGAGTGTTACCTGGTGTGTGGGGGGTGGGGGGGCCTGGTAAAGCAGGAGCAGATTTACGCTCCGTCCCCCCAGTTAACAGTGTCCGTCCGCGGTGGGGACGAAAGGGTCTTGGAGAGAGGCGACCGCTCCTCCTG